GATTTTTATTTCTTAAATGCAATGTAACAGTGTATATGCTATCTTTAAAATGAATAACAACAATAACAAACAGTAATATATGTTATTTGGAGGAATAATTTAAGACATTTTTCAAATCTTGAATTTAATAATAATATGAGCTTACATTTGATATTTCTTAGCCAAACACACATTCTTAATATAATTACATATATCTACATTATCTGTCTACATATATATGTGTATATATATATATCCAGAATTCACTCTCAGATTTCCTAATTCTTCTTCAGTTTTGTAGGAGGCTTGTGAAGTGGCTCAAAAATAAACTGTCTATAAATCTTGGTGTACCAGAAATAGCTCAGGACCAGAATGCTGATGAATGTGAGCATCAAGACAAAAAGGAAGGCGACCACCAGGTAGACACTGGGGCTAGAATAAGAACAACAAAGAAGCCATTATTCACGCTCTGCCCATTAATTTACAATCAAGCTGTCTTAGAACGGTTAGCTGCCTTGCTGGTCACACAGATCAGAGTGGTAAGTCCTAGTGTCAGTCCTTAAGGTAGTTAAATGTTTGAGGCTGATCAGGAAGAACAGCGTGAGCATCAGGAGAGGCGGGATTGTGACGGAGCTCTGGGAGTAGAGCAGAGGGGAGACCCAACTGTGGGTAGGAGTCGGCTAGTGATGCCTGGGAGTAGAGAAAGTGAGGGTGGCGAAACAGTGTTTTCTGCAAAGGGAGATGTCTGTGCATGGAGAAGATGCCACAGAAGTATGAAGAAACATTGAGGCCCTTCCAGGACATTCTGGAATGGAACCTAGTTCAGTGTGACTGAAACTCCAGAGTCAGTGTAATTAGAAATGAGGAGTGACAGGTACCAAGGGGATTGGGGATGTGGTTCAATGGTAGAGCCCTTTGCCTACCAGGAATGAGGCCTGGGTTTGCTTTCTAGCCCTGAGGGAAAAAAGGGGGAAAATAGATGGGCATGTGTCAGATAAGAAAATGCTTACAGTAAGTAGAGAGTATGGAGTTTAGGCAAAAGGCAAGAAGGAGTTTCATGATTGTGAAACAGGATGGCGGCCATCTTATAAGGATGATGCTGACTGATTGTGAAGAATGAACTGAGAAGAGTGTGTGAACCAGTTTTAAGATATTTGTAAGTGATGGTGTGAGTGAAGAAATGGAGAGACGTGGTTAGGTCCAAGATCTATTTAGAAGTTAGACTGGATTCGTTTTGGCAATTGTTAAGATGTGGCATCTCAGGAATTTGAAGGAATAGAGAGAAATGCCAAGTGTGGGGAAGAGTCACCATCAGGATGGTGTCATTAGTCACCGACAGCACATTCAGAGGGAGAGCTGGCCTTAGCGTGCTCCCCGGCTGGCCTGGAACTCCTGGGCTCAAGTGATCCTCTCGCCTCAGGCTACAGAGTAAGGGGTGCCACCCTGACAGGCCCCAGGCTTGGTTATCCGGCTGGTGGTAACTGAGCATCTGTGAACGTGTGTGTGAGGGTGTATGTGTGAGGGTGTGGGTATATGTGTGAGTGTATTTGTGAGCGCACAGTGTGTGTGCGCGTGCGCGTGCGTGCATATGTGTGTGTGTGTGTGTGTGTGTGTGTGTGTGTGTGTGTGTGTGTGTACGTGTACTGGAAGCTACTCTCTGCTGAGGCCCTTCAGGTCTCTTCACCTGGGCTTCTGGGTAGGACCTCCCTTGAGAGGGGCTTATTTCTTAGTCTAGACACATAGAGTGTTGCTTTCTGGTCGACTTTAACATCTCACTACAACACTTAGCTGTAGTGTTACAGTTTCTCTTGGCCTGCAGTTATCTTAGTGTGATGTTTCCCTTCTGTGGCCAAGCAAATGGCTCGCTCTTGGACCTTGGTCAGCATACCCCATCTTCTCTCTGCTAGGCACTGTGCTGAGATGGAGGGAGCATGGGTTCCAGACCAGCCAAAACAGTAAAGCCAGGAAACAGTAAAACTAAAACAAGCAGATACATAAAAACGGCAGCATTATCAGGTACTGCTCATTACCTGGGAATCACTCCGAAGGTCTCGATCGCAAAAATAGATGTGAGGTTACAGAAACTGCAAATCAGAAAAAAATGATATTAAAGGTTAAGCTAAATGTATTTAAAATATCCTCTGCATCTCTATGGTAACAGTCAGATTACTAAGGTATCATTTTTTTTGACAAGAACTCAATAGATAGATGCACTTACAGAACAGTTATGATGGCTTTCCCATTGGTGCATCTTTAGGCTGGATAACCATGCTGTCTTCACAGCATTACACACTTTGGGTGGTAGTTTCCAAGGCAACGGTCATAATGACATTAATAATAATGAACAATCTTAAGCATCTTCAGCAGTACTACACAGTTAACCATTGCATACTGAGCCCTCTGTTCACTGAAGATGGGTGATAAATTAGCATTTACTCCATGCCTGGTGGCATGCAGAATGCTTACATGCACTGTTAGTGCTCGTGAGACCCCTTCCCTCCAGACGAGGGAGCTGACTGAGGATCGGGTGGGCTAGGCAAGCAGCAGATATTTGCAGTGCTCTGAGTGGCAGCTCTGGGGATTTGAAATCTGGTTTTCCTGAGCTAAAGGAATGAGATCCATCTGATGGAGGCTGGTTCCCCTCAAGTAGCTGAGCGAGTCAGGAACTTGAGGGGTGGGCTGCTGTTACCATTTCCAAAGTCACTGAGTCCATCCCATAGTTAGTTTAGGGCTTTAAATGAGATGGGATGTGACTAAACAGACATTTATGGCACAATTTTACCTATCTTCTTGGGGGAGAAGACAGAAGAAAAGCGTTTACTTCTAGTAAGCATTTAGTGCAGTCCCAGCAAAGTTGGGGCTTTTCACCCAGGCACTTAATGTACTTCTCAGAATGCTGGAAAGATAGGCATTATTGACCACTTATGAACAAATTGGCAATTTGCTTAGTTCTGAATTTTGCTTTGTGTGATTAGAACTTGGAAGGCGTCGTTGTGCTGGGTGGTGGAGGTGCACACCTTTAGTCCCAGCACTGCGGGTGGGGGGGGTGGGGCAGAGGCAGGTGGATCTCTGTGAGTTCGAGGCCAGCCTGATCTACAGAGCAAGTTCCAGGACAGCCAGAGCTACACAGAGAAACCCTTTCTCAAAAAACAAAAACAAATAAACAAACAAAAGAAGAAGAAAGGGTTCACTGTGCAGTGATAGATGGACAGATGATGTGGTAAATTGGGCAGGTTAGGACATGTGTGTAATCACATGATTTGAAAGGCTGAGGCAAGACTGCAAGTTCTAGGCAAATGTTACTTCATACGAGAACTTGTCTCAAAAAAGACACAACTCCACAATACAAAGAAGTAGACAAACCCTTACTTCTTCCCCCCTCCCCCCACTCCCACCCCAGACAGGGTTTCTCTGCGAGGCTTTGCCTGTCCTGGAACTCATTACATAGACCAGGCTGGCCTCAAACTCACAGAGATCCACTTGCCTCTGCCTCCCCGAGTGCTGGGATTAAAGGCGAGCGTCACCACCGCCCGGCTGACAGATCCTTACTTTGAATCAGACACTAACAGTCCTCTTTCAGAAAGTGACAGGGCAAGTACACAGAAAATACGTCACTCGGATTAAGTTTGTGGGGTTAGAGATTCATTCCCCTGTTGTAGAGGAATGAATCTGTCTTCCTTTTCTCATCGCTATGGTCAAACACCTGATAAAAACGACTGGAGGGCTTTACCGTGGCTCCTAGTTCAGGCTCTTGTCTATAATCATCATGGTGGGGAAGCGTGGCAACCCAGTACAAGGCACCCACGTGAGGAAGCAGAGAATGAGGAACGCTGGAGCTCAGCCCATGTTCTCTTTTTCATCTAGTTGGGAACTCCAGCCCACAGAACTGTGCTGCCCACATTTTTAGGGTGGGTCTTCCCTACCTCAGCCTAACCTAGAAAAATTCCTCACAGGCACACCCCGAGACGTGTCCCTGGTGAGTCTATATCTGGTCGACTTGACAATCTCAACCATGCATGACAAAATGTCAGACTTGTTAAAGAGGTCTGTTGGGTGTCTTTATGAGATACGAGTTTCTCATCCACCTTCAGGCAGGGCCCAGAAGAAACTGTAAACGACAGCACTGGAAACCGCATTCCTGTCAGAAGCTAAGTGGAGTCTGCAGGTCTCAGGAAGGGGATGCTGCCATAGAAATGGGCTCCTCCATTTTGGTTAGGATGAAGCAAAAGCCAAATGGTTGGCTTTATAATTGGAGAAAGGAAGTATGGTTACCGTCGGAGAAAACCCTGTTCAAATGACTGGGCTGGAATGAATCTTTGGGTATGGATACTTGATTATGGGCCCTCTTTGGCTGGTATGGCAAGGGCCCGGTTATACCATGGCAACAGACTACTTGCCGAGCATGTGTGAGGCCTCTGCTCAATTCCAGTACTGCAAATAAGTAAACAAATGAAATTAACCCAATAAAATCAATATGGCACACCTGGGACACTGCCCACAAAGGATGTGGGGTTAGCGGAGAGGCTGCCGAGCGTGTGCCACTGAGATTCTATTTTCAGGACTGAAGCATTTGTTTCCTCTCAAGGGGACCAGTATCTGCCAGGACTTGCCCTCTGCCAAAGTTATACCCCCTTTTGGGGGAAGTCTATCCCCAAGGCTAGGGATTCAGAAGCACCAAGAACTTGTGCCTTCTCCCCAGTTCAGAACAGCTCTGTCTGTCAGGTACCCCCACCCAGTGTTCCTTGTGAAACCAAATGAAGGCCTCACTGGGGCTACAGTTTTGCCTGCTTCCGCCTCTCCCCAGTTTCATTTCCTCCACTTTCTCCGAAGGTGGTGATCTTAGCTCACTTCCCAACAAACCTCCCACACTTCAGTCTACATCATAAAGTCTGCCTCCTGAGAAACCTGAGCCGGAAAATGTAGACCACCTCTCTTTAGGTCATCCGGCCAACTGCTCAGAAGACTGGAAAATCTGGGGCACCGGTGAGATTTCCATGAGCTCGGCAGAGGCTCTTCCCGGGGTTATCTAACCATAGACACATAGCTAATAAGCAGCCATTCATTTGAGAAAGTATTTCTCCCCCTCACTGCTCCACTCGCCTCATAGGTAGAACAAAACCAGAAACAGTTTGTCTTCCCCCCAAGACTCTATCTACTCTATGAACCTACGCCAGCGAGTTGGTTTTTGAACAGCATCTCATGGGACATTGTGTTGATCCGTTATACTGAAGCTGTAAAATGTAAGTTCAGGTGGTGATCGTGAGTAAGGTAAATTCCACACATGTGGGGCACATGATACACCTTTAAGGGTGAAAGACACGTCCTTCCTTGTTCCCTCTGCTCGTGTCCAGATAAAAAGATTGCTTGTTTCACTGTTGCTGCTATTGCTTTATTTTTACCCACTTTGGATTTGGGAGATAACCTATACCACACTTGGATGAACATATGTGTTGCGGGATGTTTGACTGCACTATGAAACCCTGAGACTCTCTTAATAGAATCAATCTTGGCTCGGGGCAGAGCCAGCAACTGATTGACAAGAATTAGCCATAGAGAGTATGGAGGACCCAGGAAGACAGATAGAGAGACACACAGGAAGGAGTAAGGAGGGACTTAGAGATTCACGGTCTTTTTGGTTTGGGACAAATGGAGAGACATTTCTCTTGTTGGGTCTCTGGCCAAAAGGAAGGTCAGCTGGTTGCTTCTTGGCCTCTCTGAGCTATCAGGTTTTCACCTCAGCATCTGACTGGTAGGACTGGAAATCCTGCCAGGCCGAGGCCTGAGTGTCAGAACGCTGACGGCGGGCCAGCAGGGCCGCAGAAGGTAGTTAAAGCATCTGTAGGTTCAGCAATGGAAAGAAACACACACACACATAAACATAAATATACCTGTGTTCAGGGAAAACCCTGCTAGACTGGAACCCAGGGCAAAGGGAGCTTGATGCAAACAGTGCTGACACTTGGCTCTCCTGACTTGCCCCCAGAGCACTGGGTGACCATGAAACCTTGGCTGCCTTTAGACATGTGTTATCTCTAATGCCTAAGCCAGATGTGAGCTGTAGCAGATGTGATTCTGTCCTGAAGTGCAAGTGATGTGTATAAAAATGGCCTCACATGCATCTAACTGTTGATTGATAGCTCCCATTTGCTGAGACATTGAGAGTTCTTCATGGCGTCACTCACTGACTATTGAAGGAGAAAGAGGAAGGAGATTTGCAGATTGCTGTGAGTTCAGATGGGAACAGGTGTGGCTCTGCTTAGGGACAGTGGAGAAGAACAGGCCTTCCAGGGTACAAAACTTCATATAGATGTTTCCTCACTTTCCCTAGAGGATGATGGGTTGTGCCATAATTGTGGTAGGAATGGAATGTTACGTACGTACGTACGTACGTGGTGAGGATATGGAAGAAATAAACACTGATGAGAGAAATTGAAGGGAAGCATGTGTAAATAGGCTCCTCGGTGAGATGCTGGAGGATTCAAATGCTTGGGTCTCATGTGACTCTTTATCACCAGAGAAGGGGCTCTTCCTCTGTCATGTGACCACCCTTAGCTAGCATCTTTCCCCAGCTACCTAAGTGCTTATTCAGTGGGATCATGAATAGCATGGCCATTGTGCCTGGTGTGTCTTCACTAGCCTGCATTTTCCTTATCCAGGCTGACCTGGATACTGACAGTACCAAGCACTGCATTTTCCAGCAGCAGCAACAGCAGCAGCAGCAGCAGCAGCCGCTGCCGCCGCCGCCACTGACAGTCTCAATCACTGCACAGGTGCATTAATCCAGAGGCATTGGACAGCTGTCTGCTGGTGGCTGATTTTATCCAAGAGAGGACAATGATTCTTTCCTCCTGTGACATGCTTTGGTTTGAATTTGCTTTTTTTTTTTTGGTGTAGCTTCTGCCTGAAGCACTAGACAGAGGTACCTTGAGTGCCATGCATTTTCATCTTGTCCCAAAAGATTGCTTCTGACCAAAGAAGGCAAGAGGGCTGATGTGCATGGAATTCACTGGTCTCCCAGAATAGTGGATATTCTTTCAAGGCATCTTTTGTATTAATAGGGCAATCTTCTATTGCTGGTGACCTA